GCATTCCTTTCCCAAGCAACTTAATTCTCTGGTTGGAAAACGATGGTCTTTAAGGTCAAAGTAACAAAGTACAATATTCAGCACCGTATGACCAGTCTAAGTGTATCTTAGTACACAAGAATGAGAACTTGCTTTCAAGTTTACCAACACAATTGAACAGGTTTGATGCACCTAAATTTTTGAACTCTTTTTTACATGTGTTCATCTCATTTGCTGTTACTAACTTTTACACATTACTGTATTTTAACCAATTGTAATCCCCTAAGGATTTTGATGGCGACAAAGCTCTCAAACAAGAAGTTTGTTATAACACATTCATTTCTAATTGAACGAAATCCTCCTTTACAGGAAATGGCTCCTTCATTCATTGCAAATTTTGCTGATAACTTACAACAGATTGCTTTTTCACAAGTTTCAGACACAATGTCATTCCAGACAACACCAACACAATCCACTGCTTCTGCTGACCAAGATACAGCACATGAGCAAGGAGAAAATGATGACATGCCAATTGCACAGCTGTTCACTACTACTCCAATACAATAGGGAAAGAAAAGACATGCTGTCAAGAAAGAAACTTTAAAGATCACTGCCCAGGCATCTCAGATATGCCAACACCTTTTTTCTCCACAACCAAGCCACACAAAACAATCAAGCAAGAGAAGATATATTAGACAAATTAGACACTACTTCATGAAATATATTTTGTCTATGCCTCTAAATTTCAATTCATTCAGTTGCTTAAGTTTCTCAATTGTACTGTTCTTTTTTTTTTTTCTAAGGCCTTAGGACTTAACTTTGTTTCTTTATTGTTTTCCATCTGTAATATGCCTTCTTTTTTTTTCAGTTACTTGAAGTTCAACAAGCAATGAAATTTCCTTCACTTTTACCACGACTGCTTCATCTCATTTCATTACATCCATTCTTAAATTTCTTATTCTTTTTATTTCCATTGTCCCTGTAATCATATTTTCTTAGCAAGTTAATCAAGTTAATCTTTTAACACCTGCATTAATATAGAAAAAAATCATATCCAACTATCAAACAAATTAATACCATTATTATATTGTCAAATTGCTGTCAAAATTGCCTAATCATATACGGATCAACAAAGAGACAAAACAATTATCAAATGCATTCTCTTAAAATAAATATCATCATTAAAAATGAACAAGTAATTCCATCCTTGCATTAATAACTTGTCACATATTCACATAATATATTCACTTTTCCTAACAGCAAAAATTATGTCTGTTCTACTAACTTTCTGACAACATATTAACAATAAACTCAACAAGTCCATGCACAAATTTCAAAGAAAATAAACTATGAATAAAAGTGCACATTGTCCAATACTTCAACTATCACTGTGTCATCTGAACAGGTTATCTAAAATAATAACTTGCCTCAACTTCTTTTCCAAGTTTCAATAAAATCAAATATGTTTAGTCCTGTCATAGGTTTTCCCCCTATTTCTAATTCATTCTTTCTGTTTCTTACTATTTCCAAAATGTATTCAATGTTTGTAGCTATCGCCTAATATCCAGATTACACATTCATTTCCTACTGCTATTGTTCAACAGCATACAACTCCAGACCCCTTAGACATTAAGAACAAGAAACTTCATGTGCATCATTCTTTGCTTCCCAGCTCAACTTCAACTTCAACCACACGAAAAAGGTCACTTCTTCTTAGATTTCTTCTTACCTATTGTTTTATGTTCCTTCTCCACAGCATACTAAAACATCTTGGGGCTATATCTACTTCATAAAATTTAAAGCAACCTATTTTTGGAATCCAATGACAAGAAGAATTAACAGCAAAAGATTTCAACTCTTGGAAAATGACTATCAGTCAACCTTTGTGCAAGTAAGGGACGAATGCAATGCACTTCAAGACATAACCAACCATCAAGGTATGTTAAAAATTTTCAAAGCCTCTCCTTCTTCACAGCTTTCTGATAATTGATCTTGCACTTTAGGTAGAGCAATGTGTGAAGATCCAACAGTCAAAATCACTCCAGTTAAGAGTGTTAGATTTCGAATTTAAAACAATCAGAAAATCATGTCAATTGCACCCCAGGTTAGAAATTAATTTCTCTTATAAATGTCCCAAAAAGTAAAGACTTCAATCACTTCAGTCATGTTCTTTGAAAAGTCATTTCATTTCTTTTACATTTTATGCACTACAGTAGCAAAGAAATAAAAAAAACATACCTCCTCCAGATTCACTTCACCAAACAGTTTTCCACCAAATCATCTTCCAGACAGAGTGCATAACAGCATAGGGTCGTCCCATCAAATTACAACAGTTATTGATTCAAAAATTGGCACTTCATCTCCTCCATTAAAGTTTCAATTACCATTCCCCACAGGTATCTATCTTTCATGTCTAACTTCCATTAACTTATTACCATGCATTCAAATATATGTTCATATTAGTCTTTTATATTATTAGTCATACGAATATCCAACCAAAGTATGTCACCTTGTCTCTTTAACAATTTCTCTCAACTTTGACAGATACATCCGCAGATCCATTTAACCATAATGACACAGAAAGTAAAAACAGTGATGATAATGAAGCCAACTCATCTCAAAAATCACAATTTGTCACAAGTGATATATCTACTTGCTTTTAGAATTCCTTACTACTCAAATCCTCTTTACCTCCCTTCCTCCTTCCTTTATCCGTTGAACATAATTTTTAAATGATTTTTCTCTAGGTTATATAGACGAAGGAGATCCTACATTTCAATGCTGCTACTGTGGGGCACTACTTTGGTTAAATGAAAGAGTTAAGAGAGTTGGATCAACAACAGAACCAGTTTTCTCTATGTGCTGCTCCCATGGCAAAATTAAACTGCCCCCCTAAAACCTCCACCTAAAGTTTTGAATGACCTTTTCTTCAACAAATCATGTCCAAACTCTAAGAATTTTCTTGCAAATATTTGAGCATACAATAACATGTTCTCCTTCACTTCAATGGGAGGAAAAATTCACCATGTAATCAATTCAGGAGGAGGACCATATGCATTTATACTAAATGGGCAAAACTACCATACAATTGGAAGTTTTTACCTGTAGAGGGATCAAAACCAGTCTACTCACAACTATATATCTATGACACAGACAATGAAATCACCAACCGCATATCAGCTGTGAGGTAATGTTCCTTTTATGCTCACCGTTAGTTACATTTATTTTTTTCCTCATACTACACAGCTTATTTCATTCATGTAATTGCAGTCGACATGAAAAATCATCCAGTATTAGTCCTGAAATTATTGCCATGATCAAAGACTGTCTTGATCAACATAACCCCTATGTGAAACAATACAGATTGGCATCTCAAATCTTACAAGAACAACAACAAACAAAATTGTGACTGCGCCTTATCAGAAATTATTCAACTGAACAGCAAACTTATAATCTCCCGACCACATCAGAAGTTGCAGCACTGATTCTGGGTGATTTTGACATTTCATATGACAAGAGAGACATTGTTGTTGAAAAGACTTGTGGCACACTTCAAAGAATACATGAGCTGCATTACTGCTACCTTTCACTGCAATATCCATTGCTCTTTCCTTTTAGTCAAGGTGGTTACAATTCCAACGTCAAACACTATCACAACTCATCAACCAATAGCTCAAAATATGCCAAGACAGTTACTATACGTGAATATCTTGCATATCAATTGATGAGCAGATCTCAAGAAGTTTCAGCAATACTCCATGTAAAACGACTCTGCCAACAATTTGTTGTCGATGGATTCACAATGATGGAATCACAAAGAATTGATTACATCAAAATGCATCAACAAGAACTTCGAGTTGACTTGTATCAAGGTTTATCTGATGCACTTTTTAGAGGAGAAAGAAATGCTTCAGCAACTGGAAAGAGAGTCATACTACCTTCTTCATTTACAGGTGGTGCAAGATATATGATCCAAAATTATCAAGATGCTATGGCAATTTGTCGTTGGGCAGGATACCCTATTTTTTCATAACTTTTACTTGCAATCCAGCTTGGCTGAAATACAACGATTTTGTGCTAAAACTTCTTTACATCCATCAGATCAACTAGATATCCTTTGTAGAGTTTTCAAGATGAAACTTCAGTCATTGCTACAAGTTATAAAGCAGGAGAAAATTTTTGGAAGAATTAAAGCAGGTTAGAAATTCTTACTTCACAGTCACTGCCATTTCTACTTTTCATACTATTTTATTTAAAAAGTATATTTCAATAACTATTCTGTGTAAAATATTTATGCAGAAATTTATACTATTGAATTTCAAAAGAGAGGATTGCCACATGCACACATCATTCTTTTCCTAGATCCAGCTGACAAGATCAAAGATGCTGAACATGTTGATGAGCTTATTTCTACAGAAATCCCAAACAAGAACACATCTCCTCTTCTTTATGATTTAGTTGCAAGTTACATGATCCATGGACCATGTGGTCACAGCAATCCAAGATCACCTTGTATGAAAGAAGGGAAGTGTAGCAAATATTTTCCAAAGAAATTTGTTGAAGAAACTATTCTTGATGATAACGGATATCCTACATACAGGAGAAGGAATGATGGAAGAACAGTTGAAAGAAAAGGAACCCCTCTTGATAGCCGCTATGTTGTTCCATATAATCCAAGACTCCTTGAACTTTTTACAGCTCATATAAATGTTGAGAAAACAAACCAGTCAACATCTATTAAATATCTCTTCAAATATATCAATAAAGGAAATGATCGAGTCATTGCAGGAATATACAACAATAATCAATCAGCAAATCCTCATGGAATCTTTGATGAAATTAAACACTACTATGATTTTAGATATATTTCCTCATGTGAAGCTGCTTGGAGAATTTTTGCATTTGACATTCATCATCGATATCCATCTGTTGAAAGATTGAGCTTCCATTTGCCAAATCAGCAAACAGTATTGTACAAAGGAGGTCAAACTGTGAAGAAAGTCCTGAAAAAGCCAAGAATCAAAGAATCACAATTCTTAGCATGGATGGAATGCAACAAAATCAATGAAGATGCACTAGCTTTAACATATCTTGAATTCCCACATTACTATGTCTTTGACAAAAAGAAGAAGATCTGGACAGAAAGAAAGTGTGGATTTGCAGTTGGACGGATGACTCATGCATCTCCTTCTTCAGGAGAATTCTACTATCTTAGAGTCCTCTTAACTAAGGTCAAAGGCCCAAGATCATATAAAGAGATCAGAACAGTTGAAAATATTATCTATCTAACTTTCAAGTCTGCTTGTCATGCTATGGGATTATTAGAAGATGACATTGAATATATTGATGCAATTAAAGAAGCTGCAAACTGGGCATTAGGGCACTATTTGAGAAAATTCTTTGTCAGCATGCTTTTATGCCATTGTCTCACTGATCCAAAGAATGTATGGGAAAGATCAGCTGAACTTTTATTTGATGACATCTACTACACACCACATAACAATCAAGAACTAACAGGTTTGATCTTCATTCAATCTTTCCTCAACAATTAATTTACTAACTATAATATACAACTGAATAGATTTCAAATGTTACTTCTTCTTTGACCATAAAATATCATCTACATGCAGATATTGTCTTTTTATATGCACAGAAGCAACAAGCTGCATTGTTTGAAATAAATTAATTATTACAAGTGAATGGAAAAAGCTTGACTGACTACCCTACCCTACCAAGGCTTGAAGCTCACAAGCACATTGATGTTACCAACCACCTTATCATGCACGAATTAAATGTCAACAGAGAAAATTTATAGCTCGAGAGTCAAAAGCTAATCTCCTCTTTAACTGAAGAATAGAAAACTATTTTTCATTCAATTATGTCTTCCATTAGCACTTCATCACAAGGATTCTTCTTTGTCTATGGTTATGGTGGGACTAGGAAAACATTCCTTTGGAATGCATTAATCACAACAATTCGTGCCAAAGGGCAAATTGTTTTAGCTGTCGCATCCAGTGCTATTGCAGCAACACTATTACCTTCAGGAAGAACAGCTCACTCTCGATTTGCGATTCCAATTGAGATTAATGAAGACTCCACATGTAATATCAAGCACAATTCACCACTTGCTAACCTTCTAAGAGAAACAACTTTGATTATATGGGATGAAGCACCAATGATCAAACGACATTGCATTGAAGCCTTTGATAGATCATTAAGAGACATTATGTTCATTGATGAACCATTTGGAGGCAAATGTGTTGTTATGGGAGGTGATTTTCGACAAATATTACCAGTTATTCTAAAAGGAGCCAGAGCTGATATTGTGAATGCCTCTATTAACTCTTCATACTTGTGGAATAGTTGCACAATCTTCAAACTCACAAAAAACATGCGCCTTTCTACTGCTTTGACACTTGAAACAACTGCAGAAATTAATCAGTTTGCCAATTGGTTACTTGATGTTGGTGACGGAAATTTTTCACTTTCTAATGATGGCATGGCAGAGATAGAAATTCCTCCTGAGTTGTTAATTACAAAATACTATAATCCCCTCGAAGCTATAGTCAATTCCACTTATCCAGATTTGCTCCAACACTTATCTGACTCCAAATACTTCAATGATAGGGCAATTTTAGCTCCTACAATAGAAACTGTGAATCAGTTGAATGATTATATGTGCTCATTATTGCCTGGTCAATCAGTCGACTACTTCAGTGCAGATTCAGTTCCAAAAACAGAACAGGATAATGACTCCATTGATGACTTATACACAACTGAATTTCTCAATACAATCAATTGCTCTGGCTTACCTCCACATAAACTCACTTTAAAGATTGGCACACCGGTTATGCTTCTACGAAATATAGATCAAGCGAGTGGATTATGCAATAGAACTCGGCTACGAATCACATTCCTTGGGAAGCATGTCTTGAAAGCAACAACACTCAATGGAACAAATGCCAATAATGAGGTGCTACTCCATCGGATGGACATGAATCCTTCAGAGACAAAATTACCATTTCTTATGCAGCGAAGGCAATTTCCAATCATACTGTCATTTGCTATGATAATAAATAAAAGCCAAGGACAGTCCTTACAACATGTTGGACTCTACCTACCAAAGCCAGTCTTCTCTTATGGTCAACTATATGTTGCACTCTCAAGGGTGAAATCTAGGAAAGGACTACATATTCTCATTCATGATTCAAATCAGCAACCAAGATCAAGCACTTTAAATGTTGTTTTTAAGGAGATATTCTGCAATTTAGATTCTAAATCCTTCTCTTGAGAAATAATCTACCTACCCTATCGAAGATTAGGTGACACTTCAGTTGCTTCTTCCTCAATTCAAATGAATTTCATCACTCGTCAAAAACAATAACAAGCATGACAAGAAAACAAGTTTCTATTCTCTTCAATTTTATTTATCAAGTAATATTTTCCAATTGAGCCTTCAATTTCCTTATTCATTCTCCATTTGTTTTGAAATTTCTCAATCTTTTACTCTTCAAAGAAGACAATAAAAAAAGATGATCAATTTCATCTTTCAAAAAACAATTAATTTCCCTTCTGAAAATTAGCAAAACTTTTCCTTTAACAAAACATTACCTTTCTTCTAAATGGTTATGACATTACTTCAACAGCACAAGCAAAGCATAATTGATAGGACTGATGAATTAGCTTTTCTATTCTGACTAGATTTTCATGCTTCATTCATAGGGATGAGTCACTGTTTAGATACAATTAACATGTCTAAAAAATCTTTTCATGCTTAACATGTCTAAAAAATCTAATTCATTTGAACACCCCACAGCTATTTTCGCTTCAATAAATCATCTTTCATACTTATACAACTGTTAACAACAAACAATTGACCCTTCTTCGAATTAATTCTACAAATATTCATTTTCATTTCTTATAATTAATTGACTCTTCTTTTAATTATTAATTAGATATTATTTTTCCCACACTTGATAGAAGAACCATTTATTAATGTCACAAAGTTCCTTTCTACTCCACATTAACTTCACTTCACCGAACAGGCCTTCAACTTTCATCCCTTCCATTTACTACATACATGACTATTTAGCGTGATGCCGACGCCATACACTCACAATATCACATTATGTTCTATCAAAAAACAACAGTGAAGGAGCATCAACTAAACCTCCCACAATGTGCATTTCGTTTCATACAAATTGCTGATCTAATAGTCTCGTGGGTTAATGACTCCATTGCCAAAGGTACTAAATGTTCCCACAACTAATATTACCAAATAATATTAGCTATCCATTAGATATAGTGTAATACGTTCTACTTACGACACAAATGTTTGCGCTGTGCTCAAGCGTATTAACCGACCCAAAGTGATCAAACTTAATGCCCTACATAATATTGAACTCACGTTCATCATTGAGGACAACCAGTTAAGAAGTCAAACTCAAGTTTTACAACTGTTAATTTGTCTCACAGTACAGACACAACTCATTAACATCGCAAAATTTTTTTTCAAAAAACGTTCAATCCACTACGTTCTTTAAGGAAAATGCACACTGACAACTTGGAATGAATACAAGTCAACCAATAAAAAATCACCTCTCCCCTTGACCATCAACATCAATTCTTAACAATCAATGAAGAGCAAACTTCCAATTTCATTTGCAATATACTACAAACAGTGACAATATAACAATAATATTTTCTTCATATCAACACCACTATAAAAATACAATAACATCAAGAAATTAATTTACTATTCATTATCCAATCAAAGAGACAGAGATCTTTTAGACTTTAATAATTTTACAATTTAAAGTTACAAATAACATAAATTATCCGTGCAACGCACGGGGCATAACATCTAGTTTTGTAAAACATATTGTAAGAACAAAAAAAGTGTTTTTCTCATCCTCTCTTATTCTCTAGAACAATAATCCTATAATACTTAAAAGATGTTTTTATTTTTTTATTTTTCAGAATAATATTTTATTTTTTATTCTTCAAAATATTTTGTAAAAATAAATTACCAAATAGATTTTTTAAAAAAAATAAAAAAATTATTTTTAAAACAGGTTGTCAAACTGGCCTATATGATTTTGGTGGTCAGAAATATTAATGTATATTTATAGTTAATTAGCTCATATTATTCCATGCCCGGAGGGCAAAGTTAGTGATTCTAGCCAGTCAAATTATAATTATGATGGTCTTATTAATCCGAAGCAAGAGCAAACAATGATAACACGTGTTAATTTGTTACAACAATCAACAATGCGTGAATCCATTTGTGCACTTCAGATAAACTATGTAAGATATTCTCACAAATATTTCATTAACAATTACACACGCAATCATTGACAAAATTCCAGCAATTGATGAAGTAAGGATCTTAGATATTTCAACTTTAATTATTATTTATTGGAATTCAAAATGATTATGATCAACGCATATGGTAAATTGACGCTCCAGCTTAGGGAAGGGAGTTTATATATAAATAAAAAGTCACAGACGAACCAAAATATGTGGCATAACTTCCCCTTTTCTTTTGTTTAATTTTTTATTGCTGCCACTCGTAACAGTGGAATTGGAAAATGGGCTGCCCTAACTTTAGTTGGAAGAATTATGTTAAAGTTTTACATAAAAAAAGATTACTGAACTAAACTACATTCACAATACAACCAGTGGTCAATACAGTTTAGTTTAATTGTCAATAAACCTTACAGTAATTAATTTTTTTTGTATGGGACCTGATTATAATTCTCTCTATCTTTTATTGGCTGAATTCTTATGGGCATAATTTATTAGAGCTCAAGTCTAAAAGTTTTGTTTTCTTTAAAATATGTCTTTTTTTAGGTTTAAGGGATAACAAAGTTTTAGAAGTTTTTTAAAAAAGAGTGATGAGAATCATTTACCTTGAGAAAGAGCAATGTTGCCTTGTAAATATTAAAAGTGGGCTAACATCACCCATTTTCCAACCTCAAACTAACATTGACTAATGGAATTTTGAGAAACTCACCACACTAGCAATCATGCTTCAATCCACACTGGCAATCATGCTTCACTTGAAGGCCATATGCTTTGGAACAAAGGCTTTATCATCTTCCTTCTTCCCAGACCCAGCCATTTCTCTTTTGGCCATCCTCTTCCCTCAATCTCACCATCAACATCACGCTCAAAGCTCTAACGCACTCCTCCAATTTCAAACCACTAAAATATTGATCAGCTTGTTTCGCCACAAATATTAATGTTGCCTCCTTTATAAGAATCGTTTGCATCATGAACGCTTTCTCATCGATTCCCTCACCGACTTGAAATTTACTTGATTTCTTAAAGCATTGCAAACACTTCCTAGACTAGACCATCAAAGTTCTCTAGTAAAGAAGCATTAAAAGGGATCCTATGAGAAGGTAAACATTCAAAAGGATTAGAGCTTTTCAATTATCTTCAATTATGACAAATTTGTGAGGATTTTGATCTTAGATCCATACGATTACGCTTTTGATTTGACTCAAGATTTAAAACTAGAGAGGTAAAGTTACTAGTGTGTGAAGAAGAAGAAGGAAAGCCACTAAGCCATTTAAAGATCTATGTGGTAACAACTAGGCAAGTATGAAGCTCAAGCTTGAGAGGAAGCGATTGTGTATGGAGCATTTTCCTATTGGAAAAGACAGGTGCATCTTATATATGAATACCATATTTATTTACTCTGCTTAGTTGACAACCTATTTTAAAGCCATAATCTTCTTCCAATTCTTCTCCTCCATGCCATTGATCAAGTTTTCTTGTATAGTGTATGGCTTTGTTGGACCCTATCGATGACAGCAAGAAGGGAATCTAGTGTTTGGCTTGATTTTACAATCACAAAACTCTTGCAATTAAAGATTTCTTGTATGCTGTTTGCTACCACGTGGCTTGACACTTTAGATTTTTTAGCCTTATATTAGTCAAACACAAGTCAAAAGTCAGAAAAGGGTGATAATGCTCCATGATTAGTAGGTATTTTACCCAAATTAATGTATATTTTTTGCTCTTCTATTTGTTAATTAATGTGTAAATTGATAAAAATTTAGATAAAATACCTCACTTAGTGATTTTAGGACATTTTCAGCTAAAAAGAGTGAAAATAACATATGAAAAATAAAAAAGGCAAAGTACAAGATTAAAGCCCAAGAAACAAGCTGAAAAATAGTTGTCCACTCCTGGATAAGGGAGGCAAGTTCTCACGCACAAACATAGCATGCATGAGGAAGATCATTTGCTGAAAGCTTAATCACATGTGAAAATGGAGTGAAGAAAATCCCATTACGCTTGGACAAGGTGAGGCAAGACATTTGCCACACATGAAGGAGGTCATGTGTAAGGTTTTCTTTACTAAACCACAATTAACTTTAAAATTAAAGTAATCAAGGGACCATACCTTTCAAAGAATTATCAAGTTTGTACAATTACATTAATGGGAGCAACTTTTAAATAATTATATTGGGATCTTAAAATTTAACATTCTCAATCTCTAACAAATACTTATGCTCAACTCGAAGTTTTAAAATAATGTAGAAGCGTGGAAATCAATTGAGACTCAAAATTTTGAGTTTCAAAACTCAAAATTACATTTTATGTAGAAAATGTGAGATACGCCATAGCTAAGTGCACTTGTGTCAAGCTCACCTCTTTTTATGCCATGTACCGTGGCACATTGCATGAAATTTTACAGCAACAACTGTTATCATTTGACAATAGTAAGAGCGAACTTCTGACGCGTTCTAAAACTACATCCAACGTCCAATTGAGGTGGTTTCGATGTTTACACGAAGCTTTCTCCTAACTCTAGCTAATAGCATAAATTTCATACTCAAATCATTTTTTACAAAAAAATTTGGACACGAAAACTCATTTTATCACTTTTTTATAAAATCCCCTAACAATGTTGTCCCAACTCAACCACAAGTGCCAAAAGCCTATACTGACCCTCTGACTATACTCAATGGACTCTAGTAGACCTATGTAATACACCATCCACAACCAAAAACACATAAACCATGATTTAACCACTCAACTTCAGATTTCTCAAGACTCAAGGGGGAAGATATTCATGCATGAAATTATCATTTTCATTTCAAATCATTCAAAATATATATGTTCCTACTTGTATAAGTGTAACACCCTCAAATTTACAAACTGATTTTTTACAAATTATTAATTCAACAAATCATTTTTTTTCATTGAACCCTTATCATACCCTTATCATGGTAGAAAAATTTCTACCATGATACGTCCAAAACAATATACCAGAGG